CGGCTGCCATGAAGCTGGACAGTGCACAGTCATAAAAAGCAATATGGTATTATATAGAGAGGGTGTGTCCCATCAGGGAGGGGCGAGGGTGGGTGGAAGCAGTCGGAACAGCCTTTCCAGAGGAGGGAAAGTGCGGACCTGTGGACATCAGTGGATGCCGCATGGATTCTGGAGCCAGACCCTCTGGGTACAAAGCCTGCCTGTGGTTTGCTTGCTGACTTCAGAAGGCAAGTTATATAACCTCCTTGCCCCGTTTCCTCTATAAAATGAAGTAAACAGCAGTACTGTTTGTTTTCGATTGCTGTGTAACAAATTACCACAGACCCAGTGGCTTAAAACAACACCCACGTAGTAGCTCACAGAGCCATAGGTCAGAAGTCCACTAGTGTGGCTGCATTCTCTTTGCAGGGCTGAAGGCTGAAGTGAAGTTGTCAGCTAGGTCGAGTTCTCATCAGGAGGCTCGGGGCGGTGGGGGGAGGCATCTGCTTCCAAGCTCATTCCTGTTGTTGGTAGAACTCAGTTCATTGTGGTTGTAGGACTGAGGTCCCTGTTTCCTTGATAGCTATCAGCTGGGGGCCACTCTTAGCTCCTAAAGGTCGCTCACCTCCTTTACCAAGTAGTCTCCTCCACCTTCAAGTCGGCAAATCCTTATTGTACTTTGAATCTTCGACTTCGTCTTCTTCCATCAGCTGGAGAAAACTCTCTGCCTTTAAAGGGCTCATGTGATTAGGTCAAACATACCTGGATAATCTCCCAATCCTAAGGTCTCTTGCCCTTTATGGCAGTACCTGGATAAGCATTTGATTGAATCCTCAGAGGAGAAGGTGTGTGCACGCCAGGGCTGGGAATCCAGGGGTCCCCCTAGGAATTCTGTCTACCACCCCCACCTGTTTCTAGGGAAGTTGTGAGGCCTAAGTTAGCAAGTGTAGCTGAAGTACTTAGCACATATCCAGCATGTTTCAAGTAGAGGTCTGCATGCAAAGCATTAGCCAGTTGAGTTCCCAGGACTGATGAGAGCTTGGTTGGGGTGAAAGGAGAGAGTATGGGGTTGGGAACAATGGGACGGCTGAAGAACATCTTCCAGTTCTTGGCAGAGGGGCTTCATTTGGATATATCTGGAAATAGGAAGTGCCTGTCCTCCCTGGATGGACAACATCGATACCCTCCCAGACTTCGCAGTGATAATGGCCGTAAGGCTGGGCTTCAGAGCGATGGAGGAGGGGCGTCTGGACTGGCTCTCAGAAACCATCTGCTCAGAGATTTTGATTTTTGGAAGAGTGAAGACGTTCCCTCCAGCCACAAGTCCAGGGATTCAGAAACCACTAACATAATAGCTTTCCCCAAACCAGCCAAGCAAAGATCTAATTGAGGGAAGTGGGAACTGGAAGCCAGGGTCCCCACTCCCTTTGCTAACCACACGCAGGCCGTGGTCCATCTTGAGTTGAAGAGGCTGTTTCCTTTCTTAGCCTGGCATCATTGGCGGAAGAATCAGACAATGGACCCAGGCCCTGCTGACCCTGCCATGAGTAAGAACCTGGACTTTTAGCTGCTCTGTGGGTTGAACTGCCTGCTCCCAATAAATCTACATTCCAAGTGGTCTGGGGCCAGCATGAGGCAAGCAGGAAAGAGATAAAAAAGTGAGGGTGAGAATTAAAAGATTGTATTTTTCATTCCACAGATGCCACAGTGGGGAGAAGCTTTTCTTCCAAAACCGCCTAGACTAGACAATCCTCGTTTCCAGCTGGGCGCTTTTTCTTCCCTCCTGGCTCTTTTCCCCACCTCTCCTAGATCTGCCTCAGCTTCTGGATCTTCTCAAAGCTCCTCACTCCCCCCAAAAGAACTTGGGCCACCTACTCCCCTTGAACCACTGTCATTTTTGAAAAGTTGCCCAGTCTCTTTGTTGTGATTTTCAAAGAGAGACTCAGGGTTACTCTCTCTCGGGGACAGCAAGGAGACAGGAGGAGAGGGGAAGTTGGGAGCTTCCAATGATGGGAAAAACACAAGAGGTCTGCACACGCTCCTGAGAAATGCTGGGCCTATCATCGCAGGAACGTATAACTTTCCTGATACCCCAGGAAGATGTCAAGAAAGAAAAGCAGAGAATAGAAAACTCATGTTGGTGCTGTAGCTGCCGGAGTCTCCACACCAGTGGGGCTTGACCTGGTTTGACCTTGCCTGTCATGACCAGAGGGATCCAGAGGAGCCAACCAAAGACATGCGGGCGAAAGGCCAGGCCTAGCCGACCAGTTTTGACATGTCAAAGGACAGCCGTCTTCTGGCTTGGGCAGCTTGTGGGCAGGGAAGAAATCCAAAGCTCAGCCTCCGAAAGGCAAGGACAGTAACAACCCGAACAGTTACCTGTGCTCCAGGTAGGCCCTGCCTCCCACCACGACTTTGAAAGGAGCAGACTCCTCCTGGCCGGCTGGTTTATGGCCTCAACAGTGAGGATACACTCCCCTTGCTCCCCGTGCTCGCTCTCTCCTCCACTGTTCGAGACGGTGCCATCGCGCCTGGCGCTGGCTCGCTCGCTGTGATCGGTGGCCGATGACTTGGCAGAAACACTTCCCCTGATTACAACTTTAACCTGGATTGTGCCGCGTTTAGTTATATTTTGAGGAGGGAAGAACAGGGGGCTGAGGTTTGCAGAAGGCGCGAGTGTCAGCCAGCACACGCGAAGCCCACCCCCACGGCGTGTCTTCCACACTTCAGCGTCACAGCTCATTGACATCCGATGAGCAATAGCGACAGGGAACCTAAAACATTCAAAACAACGTATCCGCTCCATCTTCCACGGTGTGAAATCAAAAAGGAATGTCTAGGAGGGGGGAAGACAGGCCATTATCTACCTCCAGTTGGTAATGAGCTCGAGTTATAGAAAGATAATTTCCGGCTTCATACCATTACTTATTAGTGTGATGGTTAAAAAATCCCTCAGTCAGACTAATGGTCTCTGTGTGAGAGGCGGGGAATGCTGATTCGGCTTATCTGACTACCTGCGCCTCTCCTGGCTTGGCGGACGGTCTGCTGATACGATTGTTTTGGATGGCAGTTCATGTTCGGTAATTACTGGCACGGAAGCATCCACATACGTCTATCAATCCCTGGTGTTTAAACATTGGCTGGGCTGTGGCTCCAAAGAAGGAGGGTTTGTCTGCGTAAGAGACAAACAATTAGCAAGGCCATTCAGTGTCTTCCTTTGCTGTTCTAATTATTTGTCTGCACTGAGATCTAGAGCCTTCACTGGCCAGAGCTTCCACATGCCCTCCGACTGGTCAGGGCACTCTCTCCCTTAAGCTGGTGAACGACTATCTTTCAAAACACAGCTCTGAGCGTGATTTAAATTCACGCTGGCCAATGAGTCTTCCACATTCCATTTGGAACCCTGATACATGTAAGAACACACGTGCTTACTAGCATCACCCCGCGGACGTTTACAATACGGGTTGGGAGCGCGTGAGTGTTCTCTGCCCTTGAGGCCCAGTTTCACAGGACCCTTCTGCAGCTGACTGTCCTGCTGCAGCCCACAAATCTCACTCGCGACCTCAAGCATTAGAAGGAAGCGATGGCTAAATATCACAACTGTCACGTCCAACCAACCACACAAACTGTTCCGTTCCCTCTTAGTAGGGCAAGGCCACCAGCCCCCCGCTGATCTTCGGTTAAACAACCAAGATCATTTCTGATCAGGAAATGTGCTTTCGTGGCCCATCACGGTGTAGAAATCTAGCTCAATATCGACTGTAGGACAGATTCGTGAGAAAGAGTTTTGCTTTTCTGCCAAAATATTCCTCTGGGATTTCCTCCTTCAGGATCAAAGAAACAAGGGCAAGTTTAAGGCCACAGCCGTGTGACTAGGCGAACGCCGATCTACATTTACCAAAACAAGCTACTGGGCCCACAGTCCCTCATTCTTAAATCTGCAGCAGACATGTAGACAATTTCCTGAGGGCAGTATTTCCTAGTTTACCGAGCCAGACTCCCATAAAGGTAATGTCAAAAGTGACGGTGCCTGAGAAGCAATCACAAGTTGCCTTTTTTTTTTTGCACACAATTAGCGACGGGATTTAGAACCACTTTCTTTCTAATAGAAAATCATCAGCCAAAGAGTTGCAATTGAAATTCACCACAGTGATTTCAGCCAATAACTCTCTTTTTAATTTCTGTACTCCAGAATAATGACCTAACAGTTAAACCGGGCTAGCACTACAATTTATGGTCTCCTCATGCTCCGGAGGGACTGTTTACCGGATGACATCTCATTTTGAAATCTCTTGTATTAAGAAAATTGATGGGTGTGGTGTAAAAGTGAACTGTGGATGTGAGTGATATTTAGACAAGTCTATACTTCAAATCTGAGTCCCAACTCACACCACAGCTTTCTGCCAGGAGCTGGGGATCTCAGCGCTGACCATTTCCTTTAGTCTTCTCCAACATCGCGCGCCTCCCCCGCGGCCTTTTTACAAAAACATCCTTCTTAATTTTATCCTAAATATGACTGGTATCTTTCCCCCTTCCTTTTTGTTTTGGGGTTGTTGTTTGTTTTTTTTAAATCCCAGGTAGAATTTTATTTCCTCCGTGAAAGCATCCAGTCTCAGATCCGAGTCAACCCAAATCACCAAGAGACTAAAGCCGCCTCAGGTTGTAACGCTCATCAGAAAGGGGCCCATCAGGTTTCAATAAAACGAAGCGGTGGCCTTATCAGGGAACCGAAGGTGTACTTTCTGCCCCGGCTGACCTCCGGCGGGGCAGACGGGGAAGGGAAGGGAAAGAGCTGGGTTTTCAGGGCGCAGCCTGGCTTTTCTGGAAGGCGCCCAGGTCCGCCCATCGAGCAGAGGGCTGAACTTGAACCAGCCCTGGAGTTGCTCTGTTTGGAAACCTCATTCTGGAAAACCCAAGTCCAACGGCGACTTTCCACGCGAAGAAAGGGGGCGGAAATGGCCCAGGGGACCGGAGCGGGGCTAAGGAGCGAGCCAGAAGGCGCTCAGGGGGGAGGGGCCCGGAGCAGTGTTTGGCTGTGCAGCTGCACAGAAACTTTTTCTCGCACTGAGACCTACTCGGGCTGAACTCTGAGGTCCGCGACAGCTGGTGGGTCTGGGTGGGGAGCACATTCCGAGCCCAGCGCCCAGGGCTCGGGGGCTGGGCGACGC